ACGCTCGTGTGCCGTTCCACATAATATTGTTTTATTCTATGACGCGCGTTACTTATCGCACGTCAACGCAACGCTCATGTGCAAGGGCTCTAAATGTGTACGTTTGACGATAACCAATGACTGATATTTTAAAACCCACCACGTACGAACATCATTTAATTAAGATTATTCTCTATAATTTCAAATCGTTCGTTGTTGACACATTATCTCTCAATCCTTCTCATCCACTTACAACAGACACAACCACATTAAAAGGGAATATAAATTAAAAAAGGACAAAAGAAGCGGTGAAGAATCTGGATCACTTAAATTAATGACGTATGACAACTACTTTTTCTCATTTTCCATACATCGCCTCAATCCATCTTAAGTATATACGTGACGGGATACTCTGTTTCTACTGAAACTGTTTTGAAACTCTTCAAAATAACAAAACTATATGAAATAAGTAAATGATTCTAGCAATGAATTATGTCAAGGCGCTTTCTTGATACATTGAGCGATTTGGACTTGGAAACAGCGCTCAGATATATCATTTCAAGAGGCCAACGCCCAAGAATGACGTATCCGTAGACGCTTCCGAAGAAACCGGGGCAACATGGTGTGTCTCTGCTGAAGAACTGCCGGCGAGGAAAGTTTATGGGCGAGCGAACGGCGACGGCTGCGCTGCAGGCGGCAGCGGCGGCAAAGGAGAGCATTTACGTAAGGCGGAGCGACGGCAAAAAAGCAGCGCTGCTCGTTTCACACGTCCGCTGTCTTCTCGCCTCCCCCTACCACCGACGGTCCGTCACCACCTCCACCCTCACTGCCACCCTCACTGCACCCTCATTGCCACCTCCGCGGCCACCGCCGTCGTCTACTATCGTCCCGACCGAACGCCACCTTTACCTGCTACCCTGCACCACTACCACCATCACCACCACCACCACCATCACCACCACCATCACCACCACCACCACAATACCACCACCACCACCATCACCACCACCACCAAGAACAACAACAACAACACCGTTACCACTATTGGCATCAATATTATTCGTAGCCCCATCGCTATAGCGCTATACCACTACCACCACCACCACCGCCGCTCTACATTACACGTTACCCACTATTATCATCGCCCGTTACCACCAACTCCACCATTAATACCGTTTCCAACCGCACGTTCACAACCACTACCATCTCCACCACAACCAACAACATCACTAATTCAACCACCACCATCACCATCAACAACAACACTGTTACAGCTATCTTCATCATTACCACCACCCACCATTATCATCTCTGCATAATTACAATTGCAATTACACTACCACCACCATTACCATCTGTCACCATTATCAGCAACAATATTATTCGTATCCCCATCGCTACAGCGCTATACCACCACCACCACCATCACCACCGCCGCCGCTATTATCATCGACCGCAACCACCAACTCCACCGTTATCACCGTTGCCATCGCCACCACTGTCGCCTTGAAATATCGAGGGCCCGTCCCAGGGCCAGGTGCGCGAAGGGGCGCGGGGCGGCGCCGCGCAGTCGGCCGAGGAATGCGGCCTGTTTTCCACGGCGGCGAGCGGCGCTGGCCGCATGTTATGGGCGATGTCGCCGCGCTATCGCGCGCGTTCTCGCCTGCCCGCGTGTCCCCGCCGCTGCCGGTGATATCTTTATGCGCCGGCCGCCCCCCTCCCCCATTCCGCCCCACGCCACAGTGAGCGGCGCGCCTCGCGCGCTGGAACAAGCGGGAGGCAGGAGAGAGTTTTCTTCTCTTTCGCGCCTTCCGCCTTACCGTCCTCCTCCTCCTCCTTCTTCTTCTTCTCCTCCTTCTCCTCCTCTCCTACTTATCCTCCCTCTTTCCTACTTCTTCCTCTCTTCTGCTTCCCGTTCCTCTCTCTTACTTCTCCTTCCTCTCTCCTACTTCTCCTTTCTATCTACTACTTCTTAATGTCTACTACTTCTCCTTCCCTCTCCGTCTCTTTCCTTTCTCGTACTTCTTCTCCTCCCCCGCCTGATTCTTCTTCTCGTCGTCGTCATCCTCCTCATTCCTTCTTCTATCTATCTCTCATATTATTCTTATTGCTGCCCTCTCCGTCCTTGCTCTTCTTCTTGTTTGTCCCCTTCTCATCCGTCTTCCCTTCCACCTATTCTTCCTCTACTTTTTATTCCTCCTCTCTTCTTTTTTTCTCTTCTTCCTCACTCCTACTTATCTTCCTTTCTCTCTCCTTCTCCTTATCTCCATCATCTTCATCTTCATATTCCCCTTCTTGATCATTTTTAATTCGTTTCTCTCCTCTCTTTTTGACGATTGGGAACCAAATCAATTATTAGAGTTAGATATCTTCTATCCATCTGTTTGAAGGCTAACTCATCTCCCTCTATTATTAGCCTGTATGTTATTCAAGAAATACATACAAGCTATTGGGAAGGGGCAGATTGGCAACTTTATTATAAAATTATACCATGGAGGAAGGAGACATTGAAAAGGTTACGTACAATACGAGAGAAAGTGACTTAGTGAAAACATTTTGGTAGAATAGACATGAAAAGTGTTTCAAAAAACAGGTTTTATCGAGAAAATGCGAATCATAGCTTATTTAATGGAGAAGGTAAATAATTTTTGGATATTGAAATAATTATGTCTGAAGTGAGATTATTTATCAGCAGCGTAGAGCGTATGAAAGTAGAATAATTTAACATTTTAATCGCAAAAATAATCAGTGACACTGGGGTATCTCAAACTTTTGTGTATTGAATTATCTTGATATATTCACTAACTTTTTTTCATGCAAGCACGGTGTTCGTTTTCTATTGAAAATGAGTTAATTTGTTATTTCCAAGAGCGGTTTTGTTGTGGTAGAGTTTGCAATATGAGAGACGCAAAATTTATTAAATATTCTTTAAGGAAAACATGTTTAACTCTCCGTTTTATTTGATAACTAATTTTTTTCCTAGATTGATTATTTCCGGGCACGTCGACTACAATGGTCGTGGCTGGTTCCGGGTGAGATTAGTCACATTATGTCACATTCGTGGAAGTTGTGTTGTTCTGCCCTTCCTAGAACGTCAGATACGGTACCAAACTATACGTTAACTTGCCGGTTTTATCATGCAGTTATTTCCTCCAGTGGGGTCCGCTCCACCTCCGACAAGCTCTAAATTCCCCGCTCAACTCCCGACTTGTGTGAAGGTGTTGTGCGTGTAGTGTGTATATGTGTAAGGGGAGATAAATGATCAAGGATAAAGAAGAAAAGATAGCGCGCGGTCTGTTACCCGTTTGTTGAGGTACTGCTAGGGTATTCGTCTGGTATTATCGGAGAAATCATGAAAACGTATCGATCAGGACAGCCGGTCGCCAGAATTCTCTTCTAAACAGCGTCTGAATGCGACTAGTTATCTAGCTGGTGTGCGTTACCTAGCCGGTGTGTGTTCTCTAGTTGGTGTGCGTTACCTAGCTGGTGTGCGTTCTCTAGCTGGTGTGCGTTCTCTAGCTGGTGTGCGTTCTCTAGCTGGTGTGCGTTCTCTAGCTGGTGTGTGTTCTCTAGCTGGTGTGCGTTCTCTAGCTGGTGTGCGTTCTCTAGCTGGTGTGCGTTTTCTAGCTGGTGTGCGTACCGTTTGCTGTGCGTTTAGATGCCCCACCAACGGCAAAAGAACTCCAAAATCTCCCGGCCAGAAACGCTGCAGCGGCAGCGCATTTGCGCTGAGCCATCTTAGCCGGTTCTTCCACTTGAAGACGTCGCAGGCCCGCTGTAAGTCCGCGTCTGCCCCAGGGCAACTCGTGCCCTGCGCTTGCGCCGCGTGTGGGAACACGTCGCGCCTGCGCATTCGCATCTCCCTCGCATTGTTTCTTGGAGACGCGGGCGATGTGTCTCCCGGCCATTGGGCGCCGTATCTCATAGCGCGCGAGGTCGCACGGGATTCCTGTCGCTCGCTGCTTTTAAATCTTCGACGGCGGCGGCACGATTCCTGCCTCGCCCTGTCTGACCTTTCTCCCCCAGACGCCCCCGCGCCCAGACCGCCGCGCTGCGGAGAGGAAGGCGACTGGCACCGCAAGGTGGGTGCGTAATTCTCACGCTGCGTGCAACCAGTGCGACACGGCACCGTGCCCGTGTCCTACTAGAGAGATAAACAGAAAACATCTCTTAGAGTTGCTGTAAAAACAACGCGGCTCATTGACAGTGAGTGTATTTTCCTTACACACGCGTACTTACTTCTGGAAGCTCAGAAGCGACATTGCACAAGCACACGCATAAATGTTTCTAGAAGCTATACACATACGCGTGCGCCATTCACAAAAAAACTCCGAAATCGTTTGTCAAAAGGAAGCGTGTAAATCGAGTCTAAGGGTACAGTACAACTCGGCGAGAAGCTGCACATCCGTTGGAGCAGCGCTTGCCGTGTGTTTATGGTCAAAATTAGATGTCCATTGATTACTGGTTTTGGGCGCGTGAAAACCCCCGTAGGTGTAGTGAATTATTTATAGTTGGAGGTGATATTCCCGAGATCCCGCGCCGACGTACATCGGCCTGCGGGGATTTTCCACAATCAGGTGTCTCCCGTCTCAGTGGCACCGCCTCAGCCGGGAGGAGCCCGACAAGTGTGCTAGTGTGGCGCACGTGAGTGTAAGAGTGACAGGATAAGGAAACGGAAGGAAAGATCGCGCGCGGTTCGTGACCCGTTTGTTAGGGTACTGCTCCGGCGTTCGCCTGGTGTTGATCAGAGAAACCACGGAAAACTAAAGAGCTAGCTTTCCGCGAGAATTCTCCTCCCCACAGTGTCTGAATTCGACCTAGCTGTCAAGCCAGTGTTTAAACCTGCCATCGTCGGGATTCGAATCCTAGGACCTCTCGATCAGAGACATCAGTTGATGCCCTGAGCCACCTTTGCCGTTCGAAATTATATATGATTTTGATCTTACAACGCCGCGCTGTGTCGCGTGGCGTTCCTGTGCGTTTGACTCCTTTGTGAAGAAGGCTCGCGGCGCGTGTTGCAGGCGAGCGGTAACCTGCTGGTGGTGGGGCTGATGCTGCACGCGGGCGCCCTGCAGGCGCGCTCCTTGACCAAGCGCTCCTTCAGCGACCAGTCCGTGCGCGGCTACCTCACCGAGGTAAAGCAAGACGCGCGCAAATCAATCCTACACCCACCCACGATTATATTTACGCATTATCTATTTCTATCCACCCATCTATTCACCCACCAACATCACACCCACCTACTCACTCATTTGCACGCCCACCCACACTCCCATCGACACACCCACTCACCTATATTTCCATCCATCCTCCTCGCCTCCCATCCATCTACCTTCATACCCACCTACCTACCCCACCCCGCCACACACGCGTCCCTAACTGCCTACATTTCTACCCAACTATTATTGAATTGTTTCCTTCCTTCTTTTTCTTTATTTCTTTCCTTCTCTCTTTTTTCTTTTTTCTTTCTTTCTTTCGAGGAATTCGAATCCTTAATATACGAGAAAGCTCTCTCGTATACACGACTTATTCTGTTGACTCATTCAATAACATATAATAGGAAGGCACTATTACTCATATTTCTCTACCTGGTTGCCATGCTTGTCAAAATATCTGTTTCACCAGCCCGCCAAGATATCAAGTACTATCCTGCATGTCCAAACATTTGTTCCATCGCTACATCGTGGCATTGATGTCGGCTCGGAAGATTTTGGAGTCATTTTTATGTAACCATCACACGGCCAACTGAACTGCATCCGTAGAGGGATTGTTTTTTCGAGTTAATCGTTTCAGTTTCACCAAACGGCATATTATGCATTTTGACGTTAATTTCGCTTTTTTGTTTCGAAAATCGTTAAAAAACATGGATTGATAATATTTTGAGTTCCAAAAATTCAATTCGTCTAGAAATCACAAAACCGCTTTAATTTGTTTTGTAATTAGTTTAAATGAAAGCACGTTGGTTGTCAACTGTCAACTACCAATTGCTGCTATTTAATGGCCTTAAGAGACGGATATTACTGGTAATGAATGAGATAGTACAAAAGCCATTCTAGCATCGTTTCAGTTCAACATGTCATCCGTACGTGGCCGACTTTAAAGTATTCCAGTTCGACATCGATGTCTCAACAATTGGAACAACTGCTTGGAAATAAATGCATATGTTGATAATAAATGCGTTATATGCTGCGTTCCTCACACGTGTCAGCGCTGCAGGCTTCGCAATAAATTGTTTGCATGTGGCCTCTTGTGAGTTTTTTACTTGCCCTCGTACAATGATGCCAACAATAAATAAAAAAAAGTCAGTGTAACAGGGAATAATTTTGACTCAACCGTTGAAATTGAGGATGAGTTTTTTTTAATATGAAGGAAAAGAATGATTTCTTAAAACGATATGTTAAAAAAAACTACATTTGATTATTTACGGTTATTAATATTCAAGTAATATATGTAAATGCATTAAAGTAGTGGGCGTAGGAAAGAGATTTTCATGTTGAAAATGAAGTGATTGGCGTAACGCTACCGTAACGTCCGCGTGCTCTGTTTGCGCAGCGCACCTGCTGGTGGAACGAGATCTGCAAGGAGGAGTTCCAGACGCTGTTCCGCTGCAAGTGCCCTCTGTGGTCCTTCTGCCGGAGCCCCGGCCGCTACTACAACGCTTTCTGCACCATGACCGGAACCGGCTACATCTGGACTCAGCCAGATCGGAATTGGGGTTCCTAGTGGCGCGCCTCCCGGGGCGCCCGCGGCACCGCCTCCGCCGCCCCCGTCGCCCCCGCGGGCGGCACCGGCGCCCCGCCCCCGACGCCCCGCCCCCGGCCCCCGGCGCCGCCCCGACCCGGCCGCCCCGCCGGGGGACGGACCGCGGCGCCCGCCCGCCACCGGCGGGCGCCGCCGCCCCCGCGCCCCGCCACAGGGCCCGCCCCCGCCGGGGCCCCGCGCCCGCCCCCGGAGGCGCCTCCGCCGCCCCGCGTCGAGCGGCTCGCCCCCCCGCGCGCGCCGGCCCAAGGGCAATAGCACGCGGATTCCGCCCGTGGCGCTCGCCGCCACCACCGTGCGCTGACGCCGCCGCCGCCGCCGCCGCCGCCGAACGCCCTGCCCCGCCCCTCCTCGCCTCGCCTCGCCTCGCCGCGATGTATCGATGGTCTTTCAAGTCAACAGTCACTTCTCGCATAGCCTTCATTTAAGTTCTCAATTTGACGCTTTCCCGCGGCCTCTTCAACAATCCCTTCTCACATAGTCTTTATTGAAGTCCCCAAAATTACTCCTTTTCGTTGTCTCTTCTCCAGTAGCCTTCATTTTTTCTTCGAAGCTGACAAATTTTACAAATTTCAACAATCACTTTTCATATAGCCTTCATTTAAGTCTCAAAAACTGACGCTTTTGCTTTGTCTCATCAACAATCACTTCTGACATAGCCTTCGTATGTCTCCAAGACTGATAGTTTTGCATGGTATCCAACAATCACATCTCGCATTCTCTTCCTTTGAGTCTTCAAAACTGATGACTTCACTTTTTAAAACACCTTTAGCTCATACTTTATTTAAGTCTCTAAAAGAGTGAACTTCAACTTTTAAGTCTCCTTTCGTGTTTTCTTTATTTCAGTCACGGAAAGTGAGTCCTTTACCCTTTAAGACATCTTTCGAATGGTCTTTAAGTTTTTAAAATCGATATTTCACCCTTTAATACCCCTCTAGCACTTTTGTCTTCCACGCGATCGAAGATCCGAGGCTAGTTCCTATTGGGAGGCTGAACGGCGCAGTCTGAAGCTCAACTGATCAGACCTCGCGTTTTCTGCGCCAAAGAAGAAACCTTCAAAAATGTTTAAGTGTAATTTTGATTTCGAAATAGTTCTAATTTCAACTCTTCTTTACTTAAATAAAATAATAATTAAAATTTGTGCAAAGCATGTTCACAGAAAGATGCAAACTGACGTACGTCCGGAAAGCAAACCAACGTAAATCAGGTTAAATTTATGCATTTGAATAAACATACGAGATATATAATAATTATTGAACCTCTCAAGTAATTAGAGAGAACTCATTTTAAATTATTTGTAGTCTTAGTGATTCTTTTCGAATTGGCTATCAGTTGAACTCATTTTGTCTGTCATAGCGTTTTCACACGTGTACTTTACACAAGTATGAATGAATATTTCGTAGAACTCTCAACGGATCTACAAGAAATATCCCTTACATTTCTTTAATACAATGTCTTGAATAACAACTAACAAGTCGCTGAACTAAATCCAGAAAACATCGATACATCCAGCCTCTTAGAGACGCGTAACTTCGCCACTTCTGCTAGCAGCCGCTTCGTAGAGTCTCTGATAGCAGCGAGGGTGTGACAAGAATTCAAATCGGGAACAAACCTGGTGGTTAAAAAAACGGAATACTGGTCTCACTGGCATAAATAATATGTATATGAAAGCATAACGAGCTAATGTTTATTGCCATTTCATTTACTGAATTTTGTTTTATGATGTAACGTTAATGAATTAGAGTATATCTTATGTATTAATATTTATTTAGCAAATGTTTTTATCGACCAGGGGTGATTAACGAGCAATTTAAATTGTTCATCCGTGCTGAACATATGGCACTGACCCAACCTCGTGTTGCATCCCTGTAGGCCTCCATCTTTCCCTTCACCGCCAGGTCCGATGTTCGCCCTAGTAACTAGATCTTGCATGTTGGCCACCCGAGAAACATCCGTGACATTAAACAATTCTCCTAGTAAATTGGGGCCACTTTTAAACCAAGTGATTGATATCACATCCTTTCTGAAATCGAATTGTATCATTCTCCGAATTACAACGAAAACACTCACTGAGCGAATTTCGTGATAGAGTTCTGCCAAAACACGAAACGTACTCTATTTCAAAAGTTACTTATAATATGATATGGAATGAATCAATTTTTTCCACTCTACCACATACTTAGATGAAAAATTAATCAATTGAATAAACATTTTCAACGAAAGGTTTAGGAAATTTAGTGACTGAAATTTATTGACACTTCTTAGTCTGTGTGTAGAATAATCTGATGAATAAAAAATTGTAAAAATAATAGTAAAATGTTAAATTTAAAAAAATAATGCGTCACACAATCTTCAATAATTTTCTAAATCTAAGAACACTTCTTTGTATTCCTATTCTTTAGTATTTAAATTCTTAAACCATTCATTGGTACAGACTTCTAATCTGCAAATGATTCGATGCTAGTCAGTTCAATATAAACTCAAAACTTCTAGATTAGAGATGCAGAATGTTATATATCCGTTTGAAGTATTTTCATTTTGATTTATCTTTCAGTAGGCAACGAAGCCTATCTTGATATTTACATAATGTTTTAGGTAGGAAGTTGAAGTTATTATGTATCCTTGAAGTAGACCAATACTATGAATATATTGTACACATCTTAATTTTATATAATTAGCGTTTCTGACATAAACGATGGTGTTATGACTGTTTCATATTTCGTCAAGTGGGTTTATGATACGGAAAAAATACAGGGTTGTAATTGACTAACTAAACGGGTACTGCAAAATCGCACTTTTAATATTTTTGTATTTTCAGAATGTCTCTCAAAATGATATGGCTACAACTATTATTTGATACTCTTCTATATTAAAACCCTTTTACAAAATCCGCTATTCAGCTACCAATTGTGCACTGTGAAACTGAAAAAAATTCCTATAGAAATAGCCTTCTTTGAAATGTATTATTGAGACGTTTCAAAAGCTACTTAAGGAGCATTTCGTGTTTTGGCAAATATCGTTCTATTCTAGAAGCGAAGCATGTGCTGTCGATATCTGGTTAGTTCATTTAGTATACGTTTCAAAGATAAGGAAGGCAACCGATAGGAAAGTGACAGTCTTCCAATGATGGGGCGGAGATGGTAAAGTTTTACAGTGAGCCACATGGCATCAAGACAATAATAAAGCTGTCAGGGGGCTAAGTACAATGTTAATTCGCTCAATGGGCGTTTCAGAGGGCTTAGGACTAACGCTCAATGCGGCCAGTTTGATACGCAGAAAAACGCTATTCAGTTAATGCACATTCTAGAAGGAAAGCAATGAAAGTTTAATTTCCGAGAAATGCAGTTCGAGTTGTGGAGTTTCACCTGCAGACGGACCAATCTCACTAAGGGATACTGAGATTTTCAAAACAATACATATTTTCTTTTGAAATAAACAACAGAACAGAGTATCGATATGTTGTTATTTTAACCTCGAATATCGATACGCCTAGTTGATAGATATCGCAATATTATCGATTCATCAGTGTTGCTGATACTACAATGGGTAGTCTTATCACATTTGTAACGTCTTGAACTAATGCATAACGAGACAGGTCACTGAAGTTGGACTTGGAAAGACGAACCTTTTGCGTAAGATATGATTTTAACGTTTCACTTCATGAGAAGCCCTATAAGATAAATATTATATCAATCTATTCAAAATGGATGCTGTGTCTAGTGAAGATTGAGCGCGTACAATTTTGCGCTAATAAAGAATTCGGATATCAATGCGATGATCTAGACATATGGATCCAATAAGTGAAGATTAAACGTATATTTCTTAGATCGAATACGTGGTTCCTTCTGATATTAGTTAATGGTATTAAACGAATAAACTGTCGTTTCTAAATCGGAAAACGCGTATTGGTCGACAAAAGTAGAAGTTAAAGAATGCATCGTATGTGAATCACACGTCTATACAGCTAATATGAATCTGTGAAGCTAAAATTAATTTGTGACGATCTGTGACGTCGTCCTTTTCCGCTTAACACATTAACGCCCAAATTAATTTTGTGTTTTTACCGTTCGTTCATTGTCATCAGCAAGCATTCAAGAACGCAAAGACTTGCTTACTATATATGTAAGTTAGAATGACTCCATCAATTGAAGAAATAAAATTCGAAATTTTTTATAAATGCAGCAAATATACGATGCAATCACGATACTTAATAGGTCAACGTCTTTATTTTGTTACAATGCGGAAAATGCTATAATCATGCAACTTTTCTTGAGCGATATCTTGGCGAATTGCGAGTAGAGTGGGGGCATAAGACAAAGGTACGAAATCGGCCCCTAATTTTATGAACCGATTCCAATATCTGTAAAATCAAATACATGACTTCGGAACTTTCAGAAAAAATTGCGTTTTAACTTTATTAGGAATTGCAGGTATCTTCGGTGAAGAATCTGGGCATGCTTCGGCCATTTCTTAAGATTGTTTTAGAAAAACTCGAAGAGGAGTTGTCTCCCTAAGCATATAATTACTATTACGCGCCAATAAAGATGCGTTTGGAATGTTGTCATCAGTGCTCGCTGCGAGCTGCTTATTGGGCCAGAGAGGGGGGAGGCAAGCGGTCGGTCAAGAAAAGTTCCGCAGGTAATACCGTTAGCACGTTAAACTCTACCGTTATGATACACTAACGTCTATTGAAAGACACTTTAGTATAGTCAAGACGTTACCGATGTGCTTAAACTCCCAGAATACCGAAAGCCAACCAGTTGGAACGGGAGCGTGCGTATTCAGACTGCTCGCCTTGGGCCCGACCGCAGCCCCGGAGCCCCTTCCGCCACAGGGGAGACGCCCCACCCTCCTGCCGGCCGCCGTAGCGTAGAAGCACCGCCGCTCGGAACTATTCGTGTCTAGTTCTCGTAGGCCTACTCTGTGAAAAACGCAAGCTGGACGGCGCTACTCCGAGTATTCCACGACGGGCTCTCCATCGGAGCTTCAGGGGAGCTCTTCTGGAGAGCTCCAACGAACAACTTAACTCCGCTGAGAGCATT